CTCTTGGAGAGCTGACCAGAAGTCTGATAAAAAACCCACCACGGTCGGGAAATTAAGGGCCCAACAGGTCTCGACGACAACCTGTTCGGGAGCAACACCTGATTGTCGTCTTCTTTTCGTATACGATAAAAGAACAAGTTTGAAATATGTAATGAACACGGGAGCCCAAGTCACTTTAATTCCTCCTGCAGCGATCGACAGAAAACGCTAAAATCCCCTACCTTCTTTGGTCGCCGCCAATAAGACAGAAATAAGGACGTTTGGTACCAAGGAAATGTAGATAGATTTTGGTTTCAAAAGGTTCCGTCGATCTACCTTTTACTATCCTTGGAAATGATTTTTTCAGGAGACACTTTGCGTGGATGCATCCCATCGAGACCACCGGTCGCCCAGTTTTCCATTGACCTCATCAAATGGCCCGGACAAGCTGAAGGCAGCCAAATTTATATTTAATGACCTAATGCTGATATTATTCGTTCGTCAAAATAGTGCATGGGCGTCTCCACTTTATTGAGCCCAAAAGAAAGGTGGGAACGAATGGAGGTCTTGTGGTGATTTCAGAGGGCTGCTGACGTGGCCTTAGCCCTAAAATGCCAAAGCATTTTCTCCAAAGTTAACCCAAAATCTGCATATTTTCAGATCCCTGCGAATTCAGATCGCATTGACAAGACGGCCGTCATCCGCCCCTTTCGGCTTGATCGAATTCAACAGGATGCCTTTTGGACTTAGATACGCCGCACAAACATTTTAAAGACTAATGGACGAGGTTACCTGTGGTTTAGAGGGAGTTTCCGTCTACCTTGACGACATACTGATTGCTAGTTGCGATAAGGAACAACACAAAAAACTATCCCATCATCATTTGGTGAATTCCCCTGAAAAATGTGTTTTTTACATCGATTCCTTGACTTTCTTCGGACATCCTAGTGATGCTCAAAGCATGCTACCAAGTTAAGAGAGGGTTTTGATTACCAAACATTTTCCGTTTCCGTCAAGGCCTCGAGAAGTTATCTCGGCATGGTACATTTTTACCGTCGTTCCACTGCCAACTGTGCAGACATGCTGGAAGAGTATCTAAAAACCCCGAAATAGGACATCTCCCTATCCGACTGAAGATGCGCTGCGCGTTTTCGAACACATTCAATCGGCCCTCGCAGAAGTGACCATGTTGGCACATCCAGATTTAGATGCTGATTTTCACCTCGTGACGGACGCCTCCGACCGGGTTGTGGGTGGTGCACTCTATCAGGTTGTTGATGGAGCTCATCAGCCTTTTGCTTTCTCCTCTCGAAAACTCACTCGATCAGAGCAGAGATACAGAAACTTTAGCCGCCAACTCTTGACGGTCCATTCGACAGTGAAATACTTCAAACAAATACTGATTTGAAGACAATTTCACGTTTCAACTGATCACAAACAGTTGTGTGGAGCCTTTAAGAGCGCTTCAGACAAGTATTCCTCCACAATTCACCAGCGATGTGCGCTACGTAAAAGGAGCGGACAGCATCGTCGCATACACCCTCTCCCGCGTTGACATGGTTTCTGTTGTACCCGGCGCTAAAAGTGATCATCAAGCCATGGCAGGAGCACAAGAACGGGAAAGAAGTCAAATCACCGCTTGCCAATGGCCCAAACTGACGACGACGCAGATAGCGATGCTTCAAGGTGCCAAGGTCTAGTGTGATTTGTCCCTTCTGCCATGCGGAAATCGGTATTCCAAGCCGTTCATGGTTTGGCGCATCCAGGCCTACATGCTTCCAGCAAAAGAATCACAGGCCGTTTTGTCCGTCCAGGAATGCAAGCAGAAATTGGCAAGTGGACTCAACTCTGTCCAGAGGTTGTTTGACCTTGTTTTCGCAACATTGTCACATTGGTAGAAAGACTTAGAGGAACGCACCTTGTTCGGAGTCCATTGTATGCATCATCATTTCCAGAGTAGGACCGTGGACGTGGTACATGCCAGTTTGTCCAGCATGTCCAGTTTGCCAAAAGAACAAGACGGATATACACACCAAAGCTGCTATTGGGAGTTTTGAGACAGATTCCGAGAGATTCACCCAAATCCACATGGACATTGTTGGTCCCATTCCAACTTCTAAAGAAAAACCGCTATCCTCTTACCATTGTGGACCGTCTCACACGATGGCCAGCAGCTATTCCAATGCCAGACATACAAGCAGACAGTCGCAAGAACCTTTGTCACTCATTGGGTTTCAAGGTTTGGCATACCGGTAACCATGACAACCGACAGAGGCAGGCAGTTCGAATCCGCCCTTTTCGCCCAACTATCCCAATCATTATGAACGAAAAGGATTCACACGTGCGCGTTTGCCACTCGCAAGCCAACCGTTTGGTAAAACGCTTTCGTTGTCAGTTGAAAGTCTGTCTGAGATGGCAGAGGAACCCGGACAAGTGGACAGACAATTTGCCTTTAGTCCTGTTGAGCTTGCGGACCACGGTCAAAACGGAAACCAATTACAGCCCAACAGAAATGGTTTACGGATGTCAGCTACGATTACCCAATGCTTTTGTTGGTGATTACGTTATAAATTTGACCGATACGATGGAGAAACTACGCAGCATACCTGTCATGCCAACTATTTGCAAGTCGGAAGTGCCTAAAGACCTCATAACTTGTAAATGCGTCTACGTCAGAGAGGACAGAGTATTTCCACCACTGTCTGCGCCATACAGTGACCCCTTTCGTGTCAGCCCTAGAGATGACAAACATTTTACTTTATTAATAAAAGGCCATCGTGAAGTGGTGAGCAGAGACAGACTCAAGCCTGCAAAAATCGACGAGTCAGAAGACATCGCAATTGCAAATAGGACACAGAACAAACCAAATTTGATGTACAGCTGAGAAAAAGAGTACATTTTGCATTGGGAGCCTACTGCAACCCCATTTTTTAGAGTCTTTCCCTTTCGGGTTAGCCTCTGGGGCGGTGGGAGTATTGTATTGACTTTACTCAACAATCAGTTTGGCTACATTTCACGGTCATCTCTCGACTTACACAGCACCAAGCAGGGAACTGTCCCGATTCCTCACCTTCTTTGTGACCGAATGCTCCTCTCTTGTACCAACACCACATTTCAGCAACATCGGAGCCCTCACCTATAACTTTCCTTTCAGCATACAGGCACTCTGTGACTCGTTTTCTCGTTTCTCTGAACAAGGCTGTGGTAATCTGTACAGTAGCGCGAAGACGAGCACATATCTATAGTGACGAGTTTTAATATGGCAAAACTCACTGACGATGCCGGCGAAACGTCTGGGAATGTACCACATCCACGGTCCTACTTTGGAAATGATGAT